GTATCCCTCCACAACCCATCCCCGATACACCGGAACCGGAAGAATACGTCGACCTAACCGAGCCCCAGCCCCCACAACAACCCGAGAAGCCGAAGACGGTCCCGTACGCCATCCCACGCCCTCAACCAGTCCAACCGGGACCCCATCCCACCCTAAAACCTGATGTCCAGCCCGCAAAAACAGCCACCGCTTACCCGGTGCTCGTGCCGCAGGTCTGAGTTCCCGGGATAGTTCAGAAATTGCTTAGGTTGATGGCGGAAATGAAGAACCGGAGGAAGCGCAACCGCAAGTGCCATCCGGAAGCGAGGTCAGGAAACGGCTCTTTTACATTATCGGGGGTCTTTTTTCAAATATAATAAGTGCAGGTGTTGCTAACCGGTTTTTTACTGTTCCTAGACGTAAAATCATCAAATTTCTATTACAAAATACCAAAAAAAAATCGATTTTTCGACCAAAAATCGCCGGTTTTTACAAAAGATACGAATTTTTGAAAGATTTTACAAATTTTTTTAGATAGTTTTTCTCGTTGAAATATGGTTTTATTTTTACTAAAAACACTGTTAAAACATTTCCTATTAAGTTACTAGATATTGCTAAACGTTTCGGCCCCAGCAATTGAGAAAATCTCAGGTAGAAAACGGCTACACAGAAAATTCGGAAGAAATGCTGGCCCAGTGGTATCTCCACCCGTTTCGCCGGTTAGGTTGCCACCCGAATCGGAAAGGTATCAAAATCTAAACGTTTTAAATCTGGTTTACTTTCCAGGTACCAGAACCCGGCTACCAAGAGATAGACAGCCTTGGAAGCGAAAGGGCGCTTCCTATGAGACTTTGGAGAAGACCATGCCCCTGTGGTAAGGAAGAAGGTACTTTCGCAATAACGGGGGTGGGCTTCTTCTTCGATCGAATTTCTCTAATAAACTAGGTCAAGCGTTTGTAAAATTTTTTACTATTTCTAAAAGTAAAAACTTTACAAATTTTATTTAAAATATCAAAAATATTGATTTGTGGAGCAAAATGGACGATTTTCGACAAAACGTTCCTTAAAAAATTTCTAATTTTTAGTTTTCTTTCTCAAACACCATTAAAAACTTAATATTCTATCCTGGGCAGTGCTGAAGGCGCCCTCCCCCCCGCTAATGCAAAAGAACCGAAAGAATCAATTATACTTTTTTATATCTTTTTAGGCTTATTACTCATTTCTAACTTTTTTAGTAAAACCCGCCACAAGACCCCTCGTCCCATTACCGCGCTTGCAACCGAAACGCCCGCCAATCCGCGTCCCTCGAGCAGCTATCAAAGCCGACCGTAATCGATAGAAAACTGCGTTTAAACACGAGTTTTAGGCAACAACCCCAGGTGTTCCCGCAGCCACAAGTCCAGGTAATCCACCAAAAATTTACGACTACTTTCCAGCCCTTCAACCCTGGACCACCGTTTGCCTACAACCGCCCGCCGCTGGTAGGCAATCACCAGAAATATGTACTTCTTTTTAGGCCCCGAACCCGCTAACCGGTTTCCAGTCTTATTCTCAGGTAAGGGTAGATGGATTTGAAAATTATCATCAAAGCACCTAATAACGGTACTTGACTATTAGCCGGGGGGACTAATTTTTGCCACTAATTCCGTAAGGCCCCAGCGAACCATAAGCGATTTTCATAGCATTTTACAGTTTTTCAACAATCTTTGCCTTCTTGTTCAGAAATGTATGAAAAATGACCAAAAAAAAGTCACATTTTCAAATTCTCAGCTTTCTCAAACATTTTTTTTACCTTCTGGCAAACAAAACCACCAAAACACATCAAAAATAAGTTAGATATTATCAGCAGGTAGGCGAAGAGATTAAAAATAGTTTTCCCCTGACAAAAATCCCCCTTCCCAACAACCCAAATAACTTTACAATGTAAAATTCAATTAGCCAGCGATGCCGATGGCACCCGGCGGATGCTGCGGCGGGCGCTGGTTTGGCTCGTCCGGCCAAATATGCCATCCAGTCAACTTCAATCCGTGTCGCCCACAGGCTGCTCAGCAAAGTGGTAAGTCTTTTCCGCCCGAAACGCCAGTTTATCGTCTTAGAAGCGTTGATTTCAGGTGTTAATGGCGTTTTTCTTCATTGTCCTTTTTGCTTAGAAAACACATGCATTTCCAAAATCTAATCACTCGGCAAAAATTTTTATGCAACTGCTGCTGCCCGTCGAACAATAATGGGTGCCGCAACAACGGATGCGGCGGCAATTCATGCGGTTCCTCGTGCCGTGGAGGTTGCGGCCAGTCGTGTGGCGGCTGCGGAGGGTCGTGCCGAGGCTGTGGCCAACCTTGTGGCAGTTGCAGTAGCCCGTGTGGTGGATGTTCTTCTACAAGCAGCGCCGGCTGCTCCAGTAAGCTAAAACCGAGAATATTTACTGGGTATCCCAAAAAAGCGCCTCACTTGCGATCCGCGGGAGTCTTAGATTTTGAGATTTATTTCTCAAAACCGAAAGCGAAGGTTGTCTAAGCTGCGACAAGAAAACTGTTTTCGTTTTTAAATTAAGTGTGTAGGACGAAAGGTTTCTAGACGTAATCTAGAAGCGAAAGACCTAAAACGTCTCAAGGGAGTCCGGATTAGGGTTTTAATTAATTGGTTTGGTAAAATTGAACACGGGGTTTTCGGATTTTTATAGGATTAAAAAGGGGGGAAAAAAATTTAGGGGTTTTGAGTAAAAAAAAATCCCGGGGGGAAAAAAGGTGAAAAAAAAACATTCTTTGGGAAAAATTTTTGATTAAATTTTTTTTTCTTATAATTTTTTTTTATTATTTTTTTTTTTTTTTTTAGAGGGGGGGAATAGGTTGGTTGGTTTTAATTTAAGGGTTTTCCGTTTTAATTTTTAATTTTTTTGGTAAGTTTTTTTTAGTTCTTTCGATTGAAGGTTTTTTTTTCGATTTTTTTTTTTTTTCTGCCTTTTTATGCCGGTTTTTTGGTTTTTTTTTTTTTTTTTTTTCGTATATTTTTTTTTTTTTTTTTTTTTTTTTTTTTTTTTTTTTTTTGTTTTTTCCTTTTTTTTCTTTTTTTTTCATTTTTTTAAAAAAGGGCCCCCCTATTTTTGTATTTTTCCTAAGACAAGAAGTTTTCTAGAAGATCCTGCTCATTTGACAGAAATTCTGAAAAAGCGGATTTCTAGAAAATACTAAATATTTGAAGAAAACGAATTCCACTATTTTTGGCCTTTTCAAAAGCGTTCGAATCGTGTCGAACCATCCGATCCGAGGCACCGCTTGTGGGGTTTTGTGACACCCTGTATAGCCCATATTACAGGCGGTTGTGGGGTGGATGCAGCGGTGGTGGCAGCTTCAGCCAAGCGCTCGGCTTGTCTTCGTGTTGCACCCCGGCGAGCTGCCAGCCAGCCTGTCCGCCGGCTTGCTGCCAACCCAACTTGCTGCCAAACTACGGTTTTTACATCGGCACCATAATTCGAGCCATTTTCAGTGCTGCACCCCATCTCCGCCGGCCATGCCGTGCTGCTGCCCATGTATAAGTTCATGTCTCGGCAGGAGAAAACGGTTTTTAGTCTCTGGCAAAAATACGTCAGTTCAGGTCGATACGCCGGCTTCTGGGGCGCTGCTAAACACGGCAGGCGAGATGTGGGAAGCTGTTGCAATAACTTTTGCTCAATATTTATTATACCTCTCCTGTTTGCTCAATAAATAAGATAGTGTATTCAAGAAAAGGTAGGTCATAACAGCACACTGCTGGCAAACCACGGCTGAGCCACGGGAACCCCGAGCCACGCGAATATCTCGAAAAACGCCGAGCCACAGCCGAACCCCAGGCACGGCCGTGCCACGGCTGAGCCCTCGCGGTAGAATCCTACTTGTGCCACGCCCGTTTTGGCTCTGGCTCAGCCGTGGTTTGCCAGCAGAGGAGAGAGAGAGGAGAGCTACGATGCACTCCACTTTCCGCGACAACTGTTGTTTTTATACCGCGCGCTACCGTAACGCACGCAAGCCGCGGCTTTTCTTCCACACCCCGATTTTTCAAACGCTTCCACTACCGGTTCGCAGATATTTCCATATGTATTTTTTTGTTTTCTGCCCTAAAAACGTATAACTTCCGAAATGTATGCGGAAAATTTCCTTTAACTTTTCTTTCCTTTTCTCAGAATTCGTTTCTACTCGACTTTAGATCATTGCACAAGTATCAGAGAGATTACGATTTAACTTTTCTTATTTCTTCTTTTCCGCTTTTGTTCACCTCCATTTTTGTGCTTTAGGGTCGGGATGGCGCTCCCTTGGACATGGAAGACAGTGGAACAAAAGGGCGCTACGATCCCATCTCGATGGAAATTACGCGCAACGATGCCCGGGGCTCGCCACTCTCCCATCCCCTCGAATCACTCCGCGGCTCGAAGACCCTACACGATGGCGACGTCGCTCCGATTTACGGGCTGAGCGCACCCCCGCCCAAGTGATTTTTGTTTATTGTTTTTGAATTATTTTCTTTAGGTCGCTTGCTGAACGCTACGAAGATGCGATGGAAGGGCTCCAAAGCTGTTACGACAAGTCCTGTGGCCGCCTACCAACTTTCCTCGTCGTCCTATTCTTCCTTGCACTCATCGGCGCCCTCCTAGTCTTCGCGGTGTTGTTGTTCGTTCTCGTCGCACCCGGGGGAGCAGCAGCCCTTGACGATGCGCGGGCCAGCGGTTCTGGTGAGTGGTTTTTGGCTACTATATGGATTTTAGGCGTCTTTGGATGCAAGAGCTGGCGCTATCGTCTGGCCAAAGATGGATGACGATGGGAATCAACAACTCGAATTCAGCATCGTCAAGAACCCGAACGTCTCCTCTTGCCTTGGCTACGGGTTCAGCTGCGACCAATCCCACCGAAGTAATCGCATCCGTCCGGCGCTGTGACGGTGTTCCGGACTGCGGGGACAGTTCCGATGAGGTCGCCTGCAAAAAGTGTGCTCTTTCTTTTTATCTTTACTTTGGCTCAGAGTGCAATACTCGTTACGGCTGCCCCAACGCCATGCTCCGCAACATCCGAGGAATGATCTGCCTGACTCCGGAACAAATCTGTGACGGATTGCACATTGCCCGGATCGGTGGGATGAAGAGGAATTTTGTCGTAAGAACGTGTTGCTTTTGTTTTATTTTTCTTGCCTAGGTGACGCATGCAAAGAGAAGGAATTCCCGTGTGCGTTGAAGAACTCAACCCTGAGCATGTGCCTCCCTCAAGATGCTGTGTGCGATGTGTGTACAGGACTGCCCCGACGGCGAAGACGAACAAGGCTGCAAGGATCTCGATGAATGCCGCGGTTCTGCCATGGTAGACTTCTTATCCTTGAATTTCACCGGCTTTTTCCAGATGTGCAAAGCGGAGGGAAAGTGCCTCCCCGCCCACAAGATCTGCGATGGCGTCAATGATTGCACCGATGGTTCTGACGAGCAGGTATTTCCACTTTGAAAAAGCCTTATTCTTCTTTCTAGAATTGCACCTGTTACAATGCTCCGGCACCGGCAAGAACCTCTGCAACGACGGCACTTGCATCACGATGGATAAGCTTTGCGATGGGACGGCCGACTGCGGCGAGGGCTACGACGAGCACGGATGCCCATCATGAGAGGAGGAATTTACTGTGAATTCGCACTCTAACGTGCTTTTGCTTTGTACTTTCGCAATTTGTGCATGATTTTGTAATAAAGGGTTTTCACTTACAAACCGAAGGCGAAATAACAGTTTTGCGCGAAATGCACGGAAGGCTTTGCATCTGTGCCGGAATACACTTCCGGCGCAGGCCTCTGCTTAGCACCAACACTATGGAAAGCCAGTCCGCCATATCGATCATGCTCCAACTGGCCGTCTTGTTCTTATCGCTCTCGTGCCAAGCACTAGGCCAGAACGCCACCGAGGTCCTCGATGCGGCGAACAGCACCGAGGTGTCGAATGCAACGATGATCGTCGACTTGTCGAATGGTGCGTGCCAGTCAGTTCACGCGATCCAGCCATTTAGGAACCTACTTTGACGATGCCATGGCTGCAGAACCGGCGTACTATTTCTCTCCTTTTTCTATAGCCATCATTTATAGCGGCGTCATATACAAGGTCGGCAACGAATACACGATGGACCAGCAATTTGTTGATGAGAAGGTGGCGTATTTCTGGGAGCCTAAGGCCTCTTTCCAGCTCGAAACTGGCGCGTGATAATGGCGTGCTGATCGTGTACTCCTTCTTCGGCTTCTTGATCGGTTTTGGATCCGGGTTCGTAATTCCTGCAGCGGTGAAGCCCGACCGTGAATTCAGGGGCTTCGTTTGTTTATCCTGAGCATGTCCATGCGCCGGTGCATCTACTACCACTGGTACCGAGCTGTGTAAGTTGTTTTTGACATGTTAAAGCGCCTTTTGACATGGTAGGAAGAGCGCCGCGAGTTGGTAGACGAGTTGCGCTCGTCGGGCAAAGAGCGGCCAGCTGTGGTGCAGCAGGGGCCGCCAATGGTGATGAATGGCAGTGATGAGGCGTCACGGCGGCCGATGCCCATGGATCCGCCAGCGATTTCTGTGGTGGGCTGCATGTTTCGCTTGCTATTTCATTCAGGCCAAACCAGCCGAACAAATCCTGCCCTCTGTTCCGCAAGAGAATCCGCAAGTGGTAGGGTTTGCGTTATGCAGTTGTAAAACGTCTAACTTTCCAGAGCAAGAAGGAGGCCGATCGGGCGCTTCTTCGACAAGTCGTAAGCGGAGATATTCAGGCGCCTATTCCCACTTTAGCACCACACTTCTGCGCCGCCAGCCCAGCCTTCGAACATGCAGGTGCCAATCTTCAGCAAGAAATGACAAGCCGCTGCCATACTGTCCCGGAACTTAAGTTGAATAACCTTTCTCAGACAGCCCAGCCCCGTCTTCAAGCCCCAGTCGAAAATGTCGTCCCCGACGAGGACGGAGGAAAATGATACCCTGGTCAGCCGGCTCAATGTTCAAATTCGCCGAATTTCAGAAAAAGTTGCTGAAGGAACGCCGTAAGATGATTTCCGAGTCGGCGGTCCAGCAATCGCAGGCAAGTTGGAAGCGCACTGGCGACCAGCAAGCGACCTTTTTTACAAGCCTGCATTTCAGAACGCCAAGCAAACTGGCGCCGAGTCGCAGACGTACGTGGGCGAATACGTCGATTTTGCCAGGCCGGCCGACGAAGATTAGGCCATCAACTCGCAAGCCGGCTTATCGGCCCGGTTCTTCCCTATTGTGTCAGCATCACCTGACATTGCCCATCCTCCCCTCGCAACGATGCCCTTATGCTAACTGAATAAATAATATTATACTGCTCCCAGCAACTCCACCCGGTCATGGTATAACTAACTATAAGAATAAGAAAAAAGCCAAACGACAGCCCCTGCGCGCAAAGCGAATAAATTGCTTTGCCATAAATTTCATCTAACAAACTAACACCGAGCTAATTTCACCTGCATGTGCTCAACTAAAAGTTACAGCTAAGTACAAAGGTTTATTCGATGAAAGCTATGGCACTGATAAAATCTACACAAATCACAGCAAAATGAAAGAATTTCCAAGGCTTATTTGGCTTATGCGCGGGCGTAGGTGCGCACGCACTTCACGTTGTTGCACTCGCAGACAACCTTCAGCTTCCGTCCTCGACGAAGCGCTCGAAGCGCGAGTCCTTGCCACCGTTGAGGCCAGTCTCTTGTTGGATGAGCTTGTCGCCCTCGATCGTATACTTGGATTTCACCTGAAACGCAAAATCATAAGAAGAACAAAGAAAACGTACATCACGGCCGTCAGCAGTCTTATCGGCAAACTCTTCCCCGATGACGAATTTCGCAACGTGCGTCTTGAAGGTGGATGTGGAGGTGATCGTCCAGTTGTTGCCTAAAACAATACTTTCTAAAGCCAAAAATTCAAGCGGTACCTTCAATAACGATGTCGAGCACGGGCTTGAGATTGACGGCAACCTTGCGGGTAAGGAAAGAAACGCCGCACTCCTTCATGTACTCGTCGAAGTTCTCGCCCGAGACGAAGTTCCACTTGCCAGCCAGCTTGTCCGCCATTGTAGTGATCTGCAAAGAATGAGGTTAGAAATAAGATTATTTAGAAAGTCGGAAAGGGAAAGAGAACCAAGCGAAAATGAAAAAAATTGAAAAATCGGAGAGGGCGCCGGCATCATATCCTAGCCGCAGCCTACGTGCAGCGCCAAAATACGAGGTGTCGTTTAGGCCGCCAGAAAGCGTAAACTGCGGAAAAAAAATTGGGGAAACCGGGAATCCAGCCGGCGGCGGTAATGGGCCGCGATAAGTTATGGATAGTAGAACACGTAAAATGCCCAGCACTCAGACGCAATGATTCGAAAAGGTGAAATGCTTCGTAAGTGACGAATTCCATGGCAATTCTGGCCGTAGTTTCAGCATTGTCATGAATTTCAAAATAAGAAATTTTTAGTTTTTCCGTCCGTCCTGGCCAGGTAATGGTTTAAATAACCAAAGAGTTTCGTACTTCTTCGTAAGCTATGAATGCGATTGGAATTTTGTTTCGGGATTACTAGTACGAATTTAATTAAATGCTCTTTTTTTGTTTTCCTCCTGAAATCTCTGCTCGGCCCTTTGCAGAAGAACCGCTGTTCCATCTGGGTTCGGCAGCTAGCCCGAACCATGTCGATTAGCGGCCTCTACAATTTCCATCCACTCGTCCGGTTCCTGTTGGTGGTTGCCCTGGGGGGCGAGCGATTGCCTGCCGATTCGTGGATTCGATTTGCATACGTCCTTTCTAGGAACAGATTGTCCTCGGCAGCCAGCGATTGAAGGGTTGCTTGAAGGGCGAAGGGGGCTTTTGCAGGTGATGGTTGGCTTTTCCCGGTGGGTTTGGGAAAATGGATCCGATCCAAAACTTGACTTGATGAAAAAGCAAGCAAAAATGGTATTTAGAGGACGAACGAAAGTTTCCAAGAGGGGATTCCTGGAGAGAAAGTCACAAATCGGAATGAAGGGCAATGAGAAATGCCAATTTTGAACTTTTGGTTATGAATCGCCGATGACAAACCATAAAAAGGCGGCCCTTTTGGACAAAAAGGCGGCCGCCTCTGACACCTCTAATTAGAGTGCTAAAGCAGGCTTTGTAAAACCTTAAAAATTAGATTTTTAAATTTTTAAGTGTAGGATAAGCCCACGTTTGCGCATTGCTTCGTTAAAAGCCAAGGCTAAGTCACAAAGTCCAGCCTAGCCGTGCCGATGAGAAAGCGCCGGAAAAACACCGCATGCTTTGGCTAGCCCCAAAGAACTTTCAACCGCTGAAAACTCACACAACTTTCCCACCGTTCGCCCTTTTTCAGGGACTATTTGGTCAGAGGGGACAAGCCAGGGGATTCCCATCTCGCGAGCGCCATCGTCGTTGCCTGCCTCACCTCTTTGTCCGGCAGCGTTTTTTCGGCAAGACGGCTTGCCCCCGGATTTGCATATTGGCAAGGGCACATTCGTTGATGGGTCACACTCGGATGGCGCGCGCGGGGCGGAGCTGCTGCTCCCTTCTGCCCGGCTATAAAGAGCCCGAATCTGGAAGAGCCCTTCACCAGTTTCGCACTGATCCCCAGCAACACTTCTAGTCATACAGCACATACCTTGTTACCTCACGTTACCTCGAGAAATTTCTAGGATGGGCACGGGAAGTGTTCGTTTTGTCGTGGGAGCGTCGACGGCGATGTCCGTCATCGCGTTGCTGATGGCATTGGCCGTGATGCCGTCGCTGTATTCTGAGATCTCGATGTTGCGCGACGAGGTCTTCGACGCTGTTCATAGTTTTAAGGTATCATTTTTTCGCTCTTTGTTATTTCCGGGTAGGGAGAACGGATTTTTCGTTTTCGTCTATATCTGCAAAGTTACCTATCTAGAAAACTTATACAACATATCAAAAAATTTTAACTTTTGTCGAAACTCAAAAACTTTTGGCGCAACACCGTAATTTTGTTACTGTTTCTCAATTAAAATTTGCAGGTTTGTACCTTTAGAGCTGTCCATTTTCAAATATAAGGTGTTTTTACATTGGCTTTAGTAAGTTTTATCTATTTTTAAAGTACAAAAACTTTTCAGCAAAGTTAGAAAAAGTGTTTGAGAAAGTCGAAAACTAGGTAATTTTTGGTCGAAAAAACAAATTTTTTCGACATAAAATTCCTTAATTAAATTTTGCAGGTATTTATGCCGGTAGGTATATTTAAAAACGATGTGGAAACGCATCAACTCTTTTTTTATAAAGCTCGAGAGCTACCGTCTTTCTTATAGGATTCGACCGATAGTTCGTGGGTGGACCTGATGGACATCCAGTTGGGAGTGACCCCTCCATCGAGGCCAAAGGAGAACCCACTCATCAGACGCGAGAAGCGCTTTGCCGAGCTTCCCGACTGGTGCCAGTGCAATGCCATGCCGCAGTGCCCGCCCGGCCCACCAGGGCCGCCTGGTGCTTCCCGGAGAGCCTGGAGGTGGAGCGTAGAGACTTAAGATCTTTATACCAATCATTTTCTAGGCCCTGGCGTGCCCGGACCTCCCGGTGTCGACGGCGTCATCGGCCCATCTCGATCATGCCTACAACAGGCCGAATGTGTTCAGTGCCCGATTGGACCCCCCG